GGGGTGTCCAATCCTGGTCCTCAAGGGCCACTATCCTGTAGGTTTGAGACCAGGGGTGTCCAATCCTGGCCCTGGAGGGTCACTATCCTGTAGGTTTGACACCAGGGGTGTCCAATCCTGGTCCTCAAGGGCCACTATCCTGTAGGTTTGAGACCAGGGCTGTCCAATCCTGGTCCTCAAGGGCCACTATCCTGTAGGTTTGAGACCAGGGGTGTCCAATCCTTGTCCTCAAGAGCCACTATCCTGTAGGTTTGAGACCAGGGGTGTCCAATCCTTGTCCTCAAGGGCCACTATCCTGTAGGTTTGAGACCAGGGCTGTCCAATCCTGGTCCTGAAGGGCCACTATCCTGTAGGTTTGAGACCAGGGGTGTCCAATCCTGGTCCTCAAGGGCCACTCTCCTGTAGGTTTGACACCAGGGGTGTCCAATCCTGGTCCTCTAGGGCCACTATCCTGTAGGTTTGAGACCAGGGGTGTCCATTCCTGGCCCTCAAGGGCCACTATCCTGTAGGTTTTAGACCAGGTGTGTCCAGTCCTGGTCCTGGAGGGCCACTATCCTGTAGGTTTGAGACCAGGGGTGTCCAGTCCTGGTCCTGGAGGGCCACAGTCCTGCATGTTGCACCCATGCCATGCTCCAGCACACCTTGTTAAATGACTGAATCACTTCCATCCATTGAATCAAATCAGGTGTTGGAGCAGAGGAACATCTAAAACGTGATCGTAGATCGTCAGTAAGGCTCCTCCTTCAGATTGTAAAAACTTCCAGGCACTAAAAATATGTTAATTAATTCAGTTTGTTTAATTCATGTCAGTAATCCGAGGTGTGTTGGGGCTTTTTGTTGTTTGTTAAAGAACTCGACTTCTGACTGGAATGAAGCTAATTTAAGTTTTGCCAACAGTTTTGTTTTTATCATTTCCTAATAAACTACTCGAGAAGTTTGTCCAACACGAGGAAGTCAAAGATATTTCTGTAAAACATTTATGAAATCCTTGGTGCTTTTTGAGCTCTCGTCCTCAGCGTCGGGGTTTTCTCAGCAACACGTTCGTCTGCTCGGCGAAGCTGCCTGGTGGTCGTTTGTGTCAGAACCACACATTAAAACCCACATGGGATCAAACTTGTTCCAGAACCACTGTTTAAGTGCGGCGTGTAGCGCTCAGGAACAATGCCACGGCTCCAGTGGTGAAGCCGGGCCCTGGGAGTGAGTCTGGACTCCGGTGCTCCCTAACTGTTCACACCCATCCAGACCAGCGCCGTGTCCCGCAGGAGCTGTTAATTAGCGAGCCATCAATCCTCCTCCTGACGAGGACGGGACCCGTGGGCCCCGGGCCAAACCACAGCAGCACCAGGCACGCTATCGGACCACTAACCCCACCGCTCAGTGGAAGGGCGGAGCCTACAGCCTGTGATGAGAGGTTATCTCAGCACAAACGTTTATTATTAATAAAATCTGGTTTTACTGCTTCCCTGCATTAAAGGGGTGTGTGTTAGCAAAATATCTCCCATGCCCAAGATATCTCTAGAAGTTTATAATTCCTACTACTATTCAAAAAGACAAAACGCTGGCAAGTTCTTTATTTACACGTTTACAGACCAGAGCACAGACTGGACTTCACAATTAAAAAATGTTTTGTTTTTTTAAAAACATCAAAGTAAAATTCTGGCACGGCAGATAAAACAAAACAGATGCACAAAACGCGAGGAATCATCGTCTAAACAACACTTAACGATGAACCGAAGATTTAAACACAACGAATATAAAGACAACACTGAACATCTGACAAGAAGTCATGACAACGGACAGGAAGTCAGGACACCAGACAGGAAGTTACAACACCAGACAGGAAGTTACAACACCAGACAGGAAGTCACGACACCTGACAGGAAGTCAGAACACCTGACAGGAAGTCAGGACACCAGACAGGAAGTCAGGACACCAGACAGGAAGTCAGGACACCAGACAGGAAGTCAGGACACTGTACAGGAAGTCAGGACACCAGACAGGAAGTCACGACACCTGACAGGAAGTCACAACACCTGACAGGAAGTCAGGACACCTGACAGGAAGTCACGACACCTGACAGGAAGCCAGGACATCAGACAGGAAGTCAGGACACCAGACAGGAAGTCAGGACACCAGACAGGAAGTCAGGACACCGTACAGGAAGTCAGGACACCGTACAGGAAGTCAGGACACCAGACAGGAAGTCAGAACACCTGACAGGAAGTCACGACACCTGACAGGAAGTCACGACACCTGACAGGAAGTCAGGACACCAGACAGGAAGTCAGGACACCGTACAGGAAGTCAGGACACCGTACAGGAAGTCAGGACACCAGACAGGAAGTCAGAACACCTGACAGGAAGTCACGACACCTGACAGGAAGTCACGACACCTGACAGGAAGTCAGGACACCAGACAGGAAGTCAGGACACCAGACAGGAAGTCACGACACCTGACAGGAAGTCACGACACCTGACAGGAAGTCAGAACACCTGACAGGAAGTCACAACACCAGACAGGAAGTCAGGACACCAGACAGGAAGTCAGGACACCGTACAGGA